ATATATTTATATATACACAAAATAATTATATACAGCACAAACAAATATATTATGTAAACACAGACTTTTATTTTGGATGCGATTAATCGCAATTAAACTTTTGCACAGCCCTAATATATATATATATATATATGTGTGTGTGTGTGTGTGTGTGTGTGTGTATGTATATTTGTATATATATATATACAGGTATGTATATATATATATATATATATATGTGTGTGTGTGTGTGTGTGTGTGTTATATATATATATATATATATATATATATATATATATATATATGGTGACACCAGAATAACAATATTCATGATTCATAAATTATTTTAGACGAATATGCTTGCACTCTTTTACTGACTAAATAAATTTAAAATAATGTTGGCCACTTTTTACTTCTAACATAAGACATTTGGCATTATCAGGAGGACCCACAAATATTCCCCCACTGCATTATCATACATTATATTAAACATTAGTACTTACACTAAAACTCTGAAAGCTTAATTTTTTCTCACACAGCAATTTTTATTTTGGGGGGACTATCCACCATACATATTGTTGCATTTTTGTATTATCATATATTGTGGCACGATATATTGTCACACCCCTATCATTTAACCATGAAAGTGTTTCATGACAGAAGTATAAACTGCATTTTTCAAGCTCAAAATTCTAGACAGTACACTTGTAAAATAGAGTTAAAGAAATAAAACCGTAATGCCATATGGAGGGTGGTCAAGTCAATTCCCCTACCTTTTGTTTCTCAAGTGTGTCACACCTCTCAGAAACCACACAATACTTGTTTTTCAGGTCTTCGGTCTCCTTTGAGAGAGCCTGAATCTGTTTCTCTCTCTGTTCGGCCTCCTGTTGCTTCTCCTGGAGCTGGTTTTGCAGTGAAGACACCACGTCCCCGTGAGCGGAGCGGAGCTGCTGTCTGAGGACACACACCTCCTGATCCTTCACCAGCAGCTGCTGACAGTTCCTCTCCCTCTGAGTCTCCAGGGAGAGAATCCTCTGGGGATTCAAAAATGAGTTTAAAAAGAGATCATATGTTCAGGATGATAATCTTTCACCTCATAACGAGGAAACGTAGAGAGTATTACATCTCCCTACCTCTATGTATAAACATTTATAGAATAACACTGACATCTTGATTTTTATTTGTTGACATTTTAAGCAAAGCTCCGTCAGATTTCAGAATGAAAGCAGGCATGAGTTCACCTCCAGGAGTTTGGCTTTGTCCGTGTCTGGATGTGTGTGTTGATGTCTCCCAGCTCTCTTCATGTCCTCCAGACTTTTCTTCAGCTGCTGATTCTCTCTCTTCAGTTTCTCCATCTCCATGTCCACTGACTTCGAGCTGTTGCTTTTAAAGCCCAGTTTATTCACGAGAGTCTCCTTTGCCCCCTTCGTTGCCATGTCTAGAGTGATGTCTCAGCTTTCTCATGTGAAAAAAAGAACCATAACAAAATCCAAATGAATAGGACCCGTGAACCTCCCAAGTAAAAGCACAGTTAACGTTACTGGATATTGATTAGCAAACAGCGAAAGTTCTGCTTGATTTAAGGCTGAGGGTTATACAAAATAATCTGAATAAAGCAAATAAAGTATTTACTCACGCACAAGAATGAATACTTAGGTGTAGCAGTAGAGAAACATCAATCTATGAGGAAACGGTTCTGTTTCACTTCCGTGATATTGAAAACAAGTTCAAATACTGCGCGTCCTGCGTCATATCCGGAACGCTGTCGTCGGGTGGAAGGAAGACAGATGGCGCTGATTCTGTTATGTGAACCTGAACAAATATCTTGCAGTTTTATCATCTTTCCACAGATAGACTATTGATACCAGTTATGTAAAATGCAGTGTTACAATAAAAACAGTATTGTAATCCGTATCCTAAAATATTTATACGCAACCAAATAAGGCACAAAATGTAAACAATAACAACAAAAAAATAATAAAAACACATTTCCATTTCGTTTACACTACCGCTAACAAGTTTGGGTTCACTTTTTGAACGAAGTCTCTAATGCTCACCAATTATTTGATGAAAATACAGTAATTTCACATAAAATATTTGTTTACCCATTTAAAATATTTTAATTGTAGGCTAATTTCTTCCTGTGATGGCAAAGCTGATTTTTTGCTGCTATTTTTTATGAAAACTGTGATAATTTTTTAAAGAATAAAATTAATTTTAAATCTGCATTATAAATGTATTGTCAGCGTTTGATCAATTTGCTTCCTTGCTGAATAAAAGTATTATTTAACTTAAGTATTAATTCAAATAAATTCAATGACTATAAACTCTTGAATGGTTTGCTTATGTAAGTTATTTATTTAAACTAATTTGAATGCACATGATTGTGCATTTCTGAAGAAGTAGGCTATAAAAGCATCCTTTGAACTTCAATTGTTCACCTGGTAAACCTATCCATTGAACAAAGTTTTTTTCCCCTGCTGTAATAACTCCTATTTTTAAACCTGGAGATAAAACTAATATAAACGACTAGACCTAGCATCCTACCTGTTGTTCCGAAAGTAATCGAAAGGATAGTTTGTGACCAGTTTAGCCTATTTAAATCAAGGCCATTTTCCACTGCACCCTATGCAGTTTGGATTCAGGAAACATCACGCCACAGAAACAGCTACTTGTTATTTTATAGAGCAGATAAAATCCAGCCTTGATAATGGAGGGGTGGTTGGAGCTGCTGGATTTTAAGAAGGCATTTGATACAGTGAATCATAATGTACTGTTATCCAAACTCTCCCAATGCTCTGACATGGATGTTGTCTTATTTAAATTCTAGAAAGCAGTGCACCAGGATTAATTATAGATGCTCCTCCTTTGTTAAATGCACTACTGGAGTCCCTCTATTTTAGGACCAATTTTATTTAGCTTAAATATTAATGACTTGCCATCGATTTGCCCAGAAGTTCACATCCAAATGTACGCAGACGACACAGTTACCATGCAAAAAAGCTGGAGCAAAACTTACTGCAGCCCTGACAAAAGTATCAGACTGGTTAACACCTAGCTGTCTCACTCTTAATGTGCAAAACAGTGGGCATGTATTTCTCTATCAACATCAGACCAATATCTGTATTTTGGGAGGGGTGATAAATATTGTTGATGGTTTTAAGTATCTGGGCTTCTTATTGACTCTAATTTAAGTTTTAAAAAACACACAAAGAAGATCTCCAACTGTGTCAGAGATTCAGCTAAACTGTTGTTACATACAATTATTTTTTCACATCTCTCTTACTGTTCTACAAGCTGGTGTCAGGCGGGTGGGACTAAGCTAAAACCCTTATGTACCCATACAAACAAGCGGTGAAAGTTCTTGACAAAAAAACAACAAAAAAAAAAACAAGAAACTACCACCATTAGCTATATCATTATAAAAATTCAACTTATTAACCTTAGACAGTTTTTTAAGTTTTGTTGATATGTGCCTGATGTATAAATTGATCTTGCACCATCCCCACTCAATGTTTCTCATTTCGCAGAGATAATAGGGTCACCAGGGCTTCTGTTAGAGGTGACTGTTATACTCAATTTAGGAAGACTAAATTTAGTCAATCAGTTTTTTTTTAATTATTTACTATAGTAGAAAAGTGAAACTTTATTGCATTATATTACAGATTGTACAAGTCTCAGCAGTTTTAAAATGTCCTTAAAGACTTGGCTGAATGAGAATCAACTATGTGATCATTGACCTTTTTTAAAACATAACATGTATTATATATCTGTACTTTTGTTTTAATGCGAGTAATGTTTGTCTATATTGTCTTTATTTTCCTTGCCCAGGGACCACAGATACTACAGGGCCTGAACTGTGCATGGTCCCTGACTAATAAACAAATACCTCAAATAAATAAATAAATAAAAATCAAATTACAATATAACTGTGATCTTACTCTGTGAAAATGTTGAAAAAGGGTAAATAAATAATTAAACACAAAAAGTAATTTAGGTGAGTCTATTTTGATATGCTTATATTTAGATTCGTTTTGCAATGGGATGCTTTTGATACTCATCTCTGATGCTATGCCAGTTAGTTTCAAAAGCAGATGTTTCAGTTAATCTGGTGATGCTGGCAAATGAGGACATGTTTTAAAGTTAGTTTCTTTCCTGTTGGTTGGTTCTGGCAAGGTCAGTGTTGCTGCTGTGCGGGGGATGATGTTTGGGTTTTAGTGCTGCATCTGCACTCAACTGCAATAATCTGTACTAATGACACAGCAGGCTGATGCAGCTGTTTATCACTCACTCAAACACACACACACACACATCTCGTCCTCCAGAAGTACAACATGGACCTCATACTCACCCAAAGGATTATTAGGAACACCCCTTTAAATTTCTCATCAATGCAATTATCTAATCAACCAATCACATGGCAGTTACTTCAATGCATTTAGGAGTGTGGTCCTGCTCAAGACAATCTCCTGAACTCCAAACTGAATCTCAGAACGGGAAATAAAGGTGATTTCTTTTTTTGAGCGTCAGTTTCTGGGATTTTCACGCACAACCATTTCTAGGGTTTACAAAGAATGGTGTGAAAAGGGAAAAACATCCAGTATGCGGCAGTCCTGTGGGCGAAAATGCCTTGTTGATGCTAGAAGTCAGAGGAGAATGGGCCGACTGATTCAAGCTGATAGAAGAGCGACTTTGACTGAAATAACCACTTGTTACAACCGAGGTATGCAGCAAAGCATTCGTGAAGCCACAACACACACACACAACCTTGAGACGTATGGGCTACAACAGCAGAAGACCCCACCGGGTACCACTCATCTCCACTACAAATAGGAAAAAGAGGCTACAATTTGCAAAATCTCACCAAAATTGGACAGTTAAAGACTGGAAAAATTTTGCCTGGTCTGATGAGTCTCGATTTCTGTTGAGACATTTATATGGTAGAGTCAGAATTTGGTGTAAACAGAATGAGAACATGGATCCATCATGCCTTGTTACCACAGTGCAGGCTGCTGGTGGTGGTGTAATGGTGTGGGGGATGTTTTCTTGGCACACTTTAGGCCCCTTAGTGCCAAATTGGCATCGTTTAAAAGCCACTGCCCACCTGTGCATTGTTTCTGACCATGTCCATCCCTTTATGGCCACCATGTACCCATCCTCTGATGGCTACTTCCAGCAGGATAATGCTACATGTCACAAAGCTTGAATCATTTCAAATTGGTTTCTTGAACATGACAATGAGTTCACTGTACTAAAAGGGTCCCCACAGTCACCAGATCTCAATCCAACAGAGCATCTTTGGGATGTGGTGGAACGGGATCTTCGTGCCCTGGATGTGCATCCCACAAATCTCCATCAACTGCAAGATGCTATCCTATCAATATGGGCCAACATTTCTAAAGAATGCCTTCAGCACCTTGTTGAATCAATGCCACGTAGAATTAAGCCAGTTCTGAAGGGCGAAATGGGGTCAAACACAGTGTTAGTATGGTGTTCCTAATAATCCTTCAGGATCTGGGCCCTGGGTATATCTGGGATTTGGTTGTCGTAAGACTTTTTTTTGATTTTCATTATCAGAAATCCTCCACACTCTTGCAGCATTCATTTGTGAATTCAGTGCTTGACGCAAAATCCATCCTCGAAATCCTGCTAACCCAGGATTCTGCCAGAGAGAAGGGAAAAGGCTTGAAGAAAGCTTTTCTCCCCCTCATGAGTCTGCCAGTATTTCCACTGTAATAAATACTGAATGACGGGTGTCCACACGCAGACAGAGCGCTTAGCAGGAGTGCAGCTGTGATCTCGGGATGAATCTGTCGTTCACACACTAATCTTATTCCTTTGCTCGGTGATCCTCCAGTTCAGTGTAAACATTCAAGCAGCGTTAGATGTTTACAGCAGATTTAAAGGCTAGAATGCGGTTCCTCATTAAATATCTATTCCCTCCTGGCTGCCTACTACTCTTGCTCCCTCGAGACTTTCTCATTCCACCCCTTCAGTGTTCGCTTCACTGGATAATAGAAGCCATCTTTTATTTTTCTGACTCACTCTCTTATTCTGACCTTGTTTGTTCTTTTATTCTACATTTTTATCTATCTATCTATCTATCTATCTATCTATCTATCTATCTATCTATCACACAAATAAATCGAAATACCTATATATAACTCCAATTTCACACTGTTTCTCCATGCTGTCTTCAATATGTCCAGTCTAATTCTCATGTCTCACACACCTGAATAGAGACGGATGGTTTCCCTGGCAACAGAAGATTCAAACTCATTTAGTCCCACTAACTATTGAGGACAATAAAAAACGAAACAATCCAGTAGTCAGACAACGGCAAGAATTCACATCCGTTTCACATCTTTCAGTCCTTTATTCTGTTTCCCAAAGGAGGATACATAGAGGGAAATAGTGCTGCTTACAAGACTATCAAAATATTTGATAAAGAAAGGGCGCATGCAAAAATAAGTGCACAACGTTTAAGCTAAATATTTCATACATTCCAGCTCTTTATCTTTCTACAGGGCAGACTCGAACAAGACTGTAATCCCATGTGCAAAAAGGTTATTAGGAAAAAAAGCTGTATTAAAAATAAATATAAAAAAGATAGAAAGACATGGATTTAACCTACAGGACCAACCGTAAATATAATTATTCACACATCACAAATTTTATAGTCTAGCATATGCAATACCACTGAATCT